TATTCAAATTTTTATGATTTTTAAATTTTTTATCAATTTAATTATCATAAAAACATTGTAGATCTTTTAAAGGCTTCTATTATTAGTAAATATTATTCCATGTATAAAATAAAATTATATTAAGTGCAGAAGATTGAATAATTTAACCAAAAAAAAGTAATGTATTGATTTGATATCTGTTAACATAAATTTACTCAATCCTGTTTGTAAAATTTTTCTGCATAAAACAGTCATCCAAATTCAATGTGTTTGTTAATAAAACTTTATGTTCGTATTAAAAAAAAATAATATTATTCCACCAATAAAATTTTTATCAGTGCTAATTTTTTTTTTGAATAAAAAATTACTACATCCTTTTAAATCCTATCATTTGCAATTTAAAATCCAGATTTTATTTTGAATATTAAAAATTTACCAGAGTATTTAACTTTTTATTTATTATTTCCAAATAAAAAATTCCATACTTAATTAATATTTTTTCCCTATCAATTTTTGCACCAATATCAATTAAATTCTCATCATTATCTGCTGTTTTTTTATCAATAAATGCGCCTTCTTGTATGAATACATCAGCATTAACCAATATCTATCAACATAACCAGTGTTAAAAAAATGAGTCGATAATATGAACAAAATAAAACATTAAATTTATAATGAACATATATTAATTAATATTATCAGTCGAAATTTGATCAAAATATTTTTATAAAATACCTAGATAAATGAATCTGATATTAATTAAAATTTACCAAAAAAAAATCTCTAGAGAGTTGATTAAATCATATTAAAAAAAAAAAAGAGAGAAAAAATGTAAAGAAGGGATTGAATATTTTTAATGAAGTAAGTAGATTACCCGAGTGTGTAAAAAGGAAATGAGTAATTATCAGAATTATCTAATTTAATTAACGAAGGATTAAATCTAATTACATAGCATGAAAAAAAAATGCAAGTGTATATCCAAGTAAAGTAGATGAAAAAATAGCGACTGCAGAGGTAATGAATATATTTATAAATACTGGAATTAGGATGTTGCGTTGAGACACACACCTCGTAATCTGCTCACGCGCCATCTCCAAACCCAAGCTACTAATACAAGTGAGACACGCCGACAGATAGGAAGGTATAGGGAGGTAAAAGAGTAGAGGGAGGAATGGCTGGCGCAGTCGGTGGGACGCCAAGCCGCCAATGAGTCTGGCAACGAGAGCAAACCGGCGCCAGAGAGTCGGCTCAACTACACTACTATCATCTCTATACTCTCCTTTTTACTCTCCAACATCCAAGTAACCTTCTCGCAATCATTCTCGAGATCATTCCATCTTTGTCTTACTCTTGGTGCTTTTCAATCCTTTTCCATGACATATTTGCAAATTTTTCGTCTTTGTTCCTTTCACACAAATCAGACAATTGATTCACCAGCCAACTAGTTGGCCAACTATTTTGCTACGACACCCACGCAAAAGAGTCCATGTCTTTTTTTGGCATACCAAGTCATCTTTTATCTTGTTTTTGTCTTGCTCAATGTGATCAATACCTTGTTGTATATTGATTTGATGTCTGTAGTAATAAAAAGAAGAAGCATGAAATTTATCCTCTTCTGTGAATTTATTTGCCAAATGTATTCCACTTGTTTTCCTCGTATTTCCTTTATAACATCATCGTCTCACAGCCGATAAAAACCTAGAAAAAATTTATATATAGGTAGTGGAGAACTTGAAAAGATGAGTCTGCAAATTTCTTTTCTTCGCTTTTTTCTCTTACTCTTTCAGTTTGTGTGTGAGGTTTTTTTTTTAATTTTTTTATCGCAAGAAATCTTGAGGTGAGGAGGATGCAGCAGGAGAATTGGTGCGGGAGGCCTGGGAACTCACCAGAGACTCCTGAATTCTTTACTTCATTTTTTCCCATTTTTTTCAACATCTTCTCCTGTAGATACCAACCAATGGGTTTTATCTCGATAATTTCCTTCATGATATTACCCTAATGTAATTCTATTAAACATTATCGATTGTATGTGAAGGTTTTTTGCTAATAAAATTAAGGTAAATGCCATGGTTATTTTGGAAATTTTGCTTGTAATATGTTCCATTTAAAATCAATCACTATTATAGGTTGTTTTATTATTCAAGTATTTGCTTTATATATCAAGCATATTTTTCAATTACAGATAATTTATTACTGATGATGAATATTTAATTTCTATGCTTTGATGTTTGCAAATATTAATTATTTTTTTTTTTTAATTTTTAGTTATTTTGTAATGAAGACTTCGAGAACAGCTTTTTGAATATAGCTTTGAAAGTGAAAAGCTTTTCAGAATATTTGCTTTTTTATAAATAGTGGAAAAGTATTTTTTAAAAAAATGGTTTATTTAATAAAAAAAAAAATACCTCAAAGCATTAATATTTATTTTCATGTTTTTGTCAAATAAAATTTTCCAATTGAAATTTGTAATATAAAAAATATTCTTAAGTTAGAAAATCTATCAACAAATTCTGATCTTGAAAGGATGCCAGGTCAAGCATGTTTAAATATTTCTCAAAAATAATTTGCTTGTTATACATTGCATCAGAGAAATAACATATTTCATGTTAAATTGTCGTTCATAATTTATTTTAAAAAAATTGAATATCAAATATTCTTCAGCAAATAATAATATTGTCATTATTGTCATTAAAATAACAGCTCTACAGTTATTGAAAAATATTTCTATAATTTTTAGAAGATAATTTAATATCTAAAAAGCCTTGAATATGACGACATTAATAATTTTTCAAAACTCCTTGAAACTTTTTTCCGGTAGTTTTTGCAAATAAATTGTACTTTATAATGACACTTAGAAGCCCCACCAGGATGACACACTAGAATAAACCCTCGAGAGGCTTTTAATAAGTTGTCTAAGAAGAAAATATTTTTCAAAGTACCTGACATGTTTATTGAACATCATCTTCAATTACAATTTATTTTTTAAAAAATCCTTAAAATATTACCCAATAATAAGTAACACAACATCTGAATATCATCAACAAGGATTAAAAGCTTATAAATTCGAGTAAACGAAAAAATATAATTATTATTTATCAACCATTAGAGGAGTACTCTCAGAAGAGCAAAGCATCTTTAAATATACCTTTAATCAGTACAATTATATATAAAGCCTATCTAATCACTGGAGAATCTCTGGTAGAGATTTTTATTTGAAATAGTCAAGGATTTATAGTAAAAGCTTTTTTTATGTATGGGCATTTCGTTGAAAGAGGAAACTGAGAGGTGAATGCAATGAAGAATTACACCCTTGAGAGTCGTTGTGTAGGAAGAAGTTAATTAGTAAGTCAGTGCATAGCAGTTTGTCTTGCTGCTGAGAACAGTCGGGCGTGGACGTTGAGAATTGCTCGGCCTGCTAAACCAGAAAGTTGACTCTGGACGCAAATTGACTGTGACTAAAGACGAGTCAAGGAGCAAACGATATCACAAGGCTAACAAGCCACCAGAAAAGCAGAAAAAGAATGCTAATGATGATGACAACAGTTTTACCCAAATGCACCTGCCACTTCTGAAGATAAACGTTTTACTTATCTAAACGATAATTATCAATCAATCAGCCATCAATTTCAATTGGAATACTAACTCAATTAGGTGAGTAATTAATTGAACAAGATGTTCAATATTTCATTCAGAATCTTATGTTTTTAGATTATTTTATGAATAACTTAGGTTCATCTAGATGCATTCCTGTAATATTATCCAGGTCTAGCTATCTCAAGACATATTGATTAGTTGTTGCATGGTTAGAATCGATTAGAAAATGGTCTCGAAAATAAACTTCAAGTTAATTCCTTTTGGATGTGATTCTGGACAAATTTAATCATCACTTGAACTGAATTTTATATATAGCAATCAAATAAATTAATGTATTTGATTTTCACAACTAAGTGAATTAATTACTTTCATTTGATTTATTTTCTAATAGGTAGCTGATTGCATAAATTTTTTAACTATTTAAATAAAATAAAATTAATATTTCAACTTCTAAAATAGAGCAATATTTACTTATGTAAAAATAAATTTTCAATTTACTTAAAATCATTACTAAAAATTTCCAAGTTTGAAAATTTTCCTGATTATTTGATAACAATGATGGTTTTATTGGAGATATGAAACTCTGATTTATAAATATAAAACTAAATTATTATTTAATTGGAATGCAATTGATATAATCCCTTGAATGTTTATAATATACTCTTTTATATTAAAACATCTGAGAGCATTTATCTGATAGCCTAGAAACAATAATCTTGATCACTCATATAGAAGCTTATGCTAGTTTTCGACATAGTTTAATAGAGATTTATGAATTCAATAATATCAATCAGATACTCCTCTTCATTCTCATTCTTCAATCAAAAATAATCCTTCTTTGAAGATTACCATTAATTGATATTGTTCTATTAAAATATTATTTATGAACAATTTATGTGATTTATTAAAATGATAAACTTACATGATTGCTACAAGATACTTTTCATTGATCCAAAACTAAACATCCAGGAGAAAATAAGACATGGCATTTGATATGCCAAGTGAATATGGTTTAATTCAATTATGAAAATACTTTGAATGGAGTTGGCAATAGACAAGTCAACCTCAATCCAAGAGTCTTAATCTTTGCTGATCTCAACAATAATAATAAGCAAATTTCAAGATAGAATATACTGTCGATTGGTACTTTGTTATCTTGATTGAATAAACTAGTAATATATATTAATAAACAAAGTTATTGAATGCCAATAGATAATAGCTTGAATACTCACGAATAAAATATTCAAAGTTTCTATTCCATATGTTTTGATATTATCCAAGGAATAGGATCACAAATATTAGATAAAATAAAGTTAAAAAAAATATTAAAAATTTTTCTGCAAGTATTCTTGATTCGTCATTGAAATGATGAAGTTTATCTCAACCAATCAAATAAAATTAGAGAAGAAATAAAAAAAGGTACTCACTCTCCAACTCTTTCACCATTCCAGCAATGACGATCAGGATATTCCTCACATATAGCATCAGCAAGGGTTCCATAAAAGGTCCGCGACCTTACAACACTCGCCAAAAAGTTGCCAAACTGCGTGTGCAACTGCGTGGGCACTGACCGGTGCGCCTGCGCTCCGGGATGTGCTGCAGCAGCAGCAAGTCTTGCTTCAAGACTTGGAGAAGAAGATGATGATGATGCCGATCGACCACTAAACGAGATCCCTGATTCACCTGATGTCTTACCCAATTGCAACTCCGATCGACCACACACACTCCTTACCTGAGGAAATAAATAATTTCAGTTAATTACTTTTATATTTACAATTATTCTCAATCATCATTTTTATTATTATTGGCACGAATACTACTTAATGATATAATTATTCGTAATGTAAGGGTTAAGACTTCGCAGAAGCTTACAAGATAGAATTACGTTGAGTAGCAATGACGAGAGCGTTGACATAATCGAATGCATACAACGTTATCATAAGGAAAGATGTTTACACGCATCCACATTCACTTTATCGTTTATACTTTGATACTTTTTCTTCTTTGCATTCTATTCGTATATAAGAACATCACCAACTCTTTTTTTCTTTTATTCATTACATCGTTGTGGATTCTTATGCTCTTGCAATCAGAATGCAACGATGACCATGCACATTATTGATAAGAATTCTCTGAGATACTTCAGACTATTTTACACTTTATCTGATACCATTTTTCCTGTCATGAATGTAATTAGATAAAAACTAATGAATTATTTATCACCACTTTCACTATATATAAATTTTATTATTGCTGCTGTTTTATTCATCATCAAAATCATCATTATTATTGTCACACAGAAAAATTGTCTGCTTCTAAACATTATCATAAGAATTTTATTTGTTTTATTATAGTTTTAATGACTTTTTAACTTTAAATAAATTTGATATCTGATAAATGTAAAATATCTTTCTGGATGATTTCAAACTGGTTAATTTTGTAATTAATCCAATTTTATCCCCAACAAAGTAGATATGAAAATAACTTTAGATAATTATTCACATGGTAAGTACCAATGGATATATCATCATTTGAATTTTCAAATCAATAAGGAATCAGAATATTCAATATATTTCTATTCTTGACTAATATCACACGTTCATGTGAATTCAATTGATAAGATTAGATCAAGATTTTCATAAATTTCATTTTATAGAATTATTGATCAACTTTACTAGATTTAACATTATTTTTACTTTAAGTTGATAAAAATTGCCATGAATTTGTTCTTCATTTCTCTGAAAAGTATTTTAAAATTATGAAGTAGGGCAAACATTCCAATAAATGGACCAACAAGAAAATAAGATAGAAAAATGGACAAAAAATCAAAATTTTAAATGTATTGAAAAAAGTTTAATATTTTTTAGCTAGCGAGGCTTTAGCTTCAATATTTAGAAATTTTTTTTTGCTTGTTAATATTTATTTTTCTGTAGAGTTAAAATTTTAGCCATCTTCTAGATAATGTCTATGAATATATTTGCTTCTTCTCCAATGTTATCAGAAATATTTTGTATAATTAAATCAATTATCTAAATGGTAAAAAAATGAAGTGGACAGTCATTCTTATTTATGGTTTGAGGAAAACCTTTTTAATTTTTTTTCGTCTCATTTAGGATAAAAATGTATTGAAGACTGAATTCATTTATACAAAGTATCATTTTTAGAATGATAATTTAAGTGTATTTTTACTCGACATTAATTTTATTGCAATTTTCACTGTCCATTAAGTTTCCTCCATATTCATGAGTATCCAAAATTGTACATTTAATATGAATAAATACATTCATTCTTATAACCAACGTCATCATCGTTTCAATATTTCTACTCTCCAGCAACTGGCTTCTGAATCCATTTTTTATTGCTCTGTAGAACGAAACAAATCGCAGTCCCACGCGTTTATAATTTATGACTAAGAAATAAAAAGAAAAAGAAAAAAATACATTTATTCAAGTTGAAAAATTGTTGGCAAATATTTGCTCCAGGGGACGTTTTGCCACTTTTTGAAGGCCAGTTTCTTTGGTGTAAAATAAAAAAACAACTGCTGAAGATTTAGGTTTTAGACAGGTATATTTAAATTCACCGGACTGATTAAGATGACTCTCATGTGGGCGGTATAAACGTCGAGTTGTTACTTTTCTTTCTTTTTCTCCGTCGTATTTTCTTATTTCAACTTTTTTATACATTTCATTTGGCATTTCCAGACCTTCTGGTATAATACCGGTAAACAATTTTTATCAGACTATCTCGTGTTTTAGGATTTAAGTGTTGATATTATGAACAAGATGTAAAGTTAACTCTTGGGGGTCAGACCTAGAAATTCCAGTCATGAATATTCTTCACACTTTTTTCATAAATTTCAAACAAAACTATCATCCTAACCACAAGTATTTTATTTTAACACACAATGCCAATCAAAAAATATTTCATCTCCAGTTTTTCATGGGAAATATTTTATTTTTTAAAAAAATATTCAATAATCTTTTATCAAAACTCGTATTGTTCAACACAGTTATTTGAAACTTTTTTTCAAAATCAAATAACCAATTTTCATTATTAAATCTAGATAATTGATAATTTAATAAATTCTTTAAAAAATTCTAACAAACAAACTACAGTGTTTTTTGTTAAACTACATGGATTTAGTGAGTTATTTGAGATCATAATAGAATTAATTTCCAATAAATCTATAGAATTTTGAGTTTTTTTTTTAATGAAAATTTGCACAATATTCAAAACAATTCAACGTAAATCTCTTTCATCACCGATGAATTATTTGATGACTTTTTATTCTAGATATTTCATCCAATTCGATGGTGATCTCTTCAAACTGATGTTTTAATTCAAACTACAATTTTTCCATGCATTACAATGCCTGTAAAGTTTTCATCTGAATGGTAAATAATTCTGATCATGGATATTGTCTCTATTCCAATTCACTCTAATGGAAAAATCCAATCCCATGTACATACAAGTATATACTATTTTTTTGTTAAAATTTACATATTAACAAGATTTGAAATTCTTCTTACATTAGTTTTTATTTTTTATCATTTTTTTTCGAAGTAACAATGTACATCTAAATCCAACTTTTCATCTAGTATTTTTGAACGATAAAAGAACTTCCATAAATCTTTGTATTTTGAGGTTCTCTACATTCATTCCAGATTTCAGAGATGAATGTCTCCCTACTATGTGTGTATGTTCAGTACGTTATGTAACAAAAATTGTATCCAATGCCATCGCAGACATGGCTGTAGTCCACTTTTTAAATCTTTTTATCAATAAATATCTTTAGATGCAAAACTTGTTAATGAATTATTATTTCTTAAATAAATTAACATAAAGATCTTATCATGTTGAATTTTAAAAATACATCTTTATTATTATTAAGTTCAATTTTTCAACTACACAGAGATAGCAGGCTATTTATCATGAAAAATACTGAAGTAAAAGTGGTTATAAATTCAATAAACTGAATAAAAATGTTCTCTGGATCATTTAAAGTGAATGTGAAATCTCAAGTTTTTTAAAAGTTTGGCCATTAAGGAGAGAAAGAGTGTAGTAATATTATTCAACTTTTTCAAACAGTTATATTTGCATTATTTTAAAGATTTTTCTTTTGTTAATAAAAACAAAAGAAGTATCCTAATTTTGGTTTCTATATTTATTAATGTATTTCAGATTAATCAATGATTAGAGTTCACTTGCTCTAAATTATTTCTTTTTATCCAAAAAATATCATTCATTAAAATTTTAAAATAAAAGTCAATAATTTAATTTGCAAAAAAATTCCATTATTTAATTAATAAAAATTGTTATTAATTAAATATAAAATAAATATGCTTCTGTAAACTTTATTAATTGGAGTCAATGAAAAAAAAATAAAAATAAATAAAGCTTTACATTTAATTTAATTTTATTATATCAAATGATAAGAAATATAAATATCGTTTAAATATTTGCAAAAGTAAAAACATAGACTATTTAGCAGTTAAACCGTTGGTACCTTATCGTTTTCACATGTAATCTGACACTTTTGTCTGTTGTTTTATGGTCATAAACTAGCATATTCATCTTTTTCTATCTCTTCAGCTCGACCCACTCGTTATTCTTTTCTCTTCTTTCTATTCTTTTACCATCCACAGGTGACTCACCACCGGATATTGAAGACTGATTCATCCTTTTAGCTTTGTAAAATTCTTAAGGATTCTTTCATATTTTTTTCACCTTTAATTTTCATCATTTCTACGAAAACACACCATTTTTTAGCCTTCAAAGTATAAAAGGAGGAATGCTTTTAATTCATTGAGAAATTTTAAACTGTGTCTTCTTGATGCTCATTGAAGACAAATAGAATCAGACATGATGATTGTTGGTGTCTAAACCCAGACGGCTATTCAATGAACACACATTGTCAATGAATTTAATCCATTAAATCTGAATTGTAAAAGCAAATTATCAATTGATGAAGACGACGATGAAAAAGAAAGTCTTTAGTTCTAATCTATTTTATTCATTCAAAAAGGTAACGAGTTCTTAACACGTTCAAAAAATATCTTTACAAAATTCTTTCTCAAAGTTTATGACAAATAAATGTTACTTTGTCAAGTAGTTGGTTTCAATTTTTCATGTCTCTCTAGTTTATTATCATATATGTTAAATAGCAAGCTAACATACTTTTTAAATCCAACTTTCAAAATAATTTTTTACATTAAAAAAGTAGCAATTAAATTTTTAAACTGAATATAAATGTAAATTCATTAAAGAAAAATAAAATAAAAACTTCAAAGAAATTTAAACGTAAATTTTTGATGGCGTTGGATGTTGACAACCCTTAACTCAATTTGTTGTGTTTTATACTGATGATGGCGTACACAAATAAAAGCATGACAAGAGCGGAGCCGTGATAAAAAATTATCAGATTAAGTAACTCTTTTGTAGTTTTGAATAATTTTAATAGCAGCTCTTGATGTAATAAAGAACGGAAGTAAAAGTTTAATGCAAAACGACGATGAGATAAATCGATAGGGAAGCTCGTTCAGTTGTCAAGTGCGGTCTGAGTCAAAGTATAAATAACAAGCATCAGAGCACCAATGATGGCAAAAGGATGCGAAGAATGTGATGGGTGCGCCTCATCATTCCTTCTCTCTTACACTCTACTCTCTCTCGATATCTCTTTCTCCCTTTCTTCTTATTTCTTTCATTTTCCTTTTTTATCGTGTGTTTTACTCT